CTCTGAGAGACAGCTACCATGGGACTTATTCTTATTGCCGAGGCCCCAAGCCATAAGCACTGAGCAGTAACTGCTTCCTCGGCCTCTAGGTGTGATTCAGCTGTTACTATTTGATTTAATAAATTATTTTATATTTTTTTCATCATACTGTTCCTGTTCCTGTAGAGAACCCTGACTAACAGAACAATTTTAGTTTCCTTGAAAATAGTTTAAATATCCAGGTTTAATTTTTAAAATCACAAGTGTTTCCCTAACACTCCAATGCTAATTTTGACTTTGTACGAAAATTAACTGTTCAATAGAATTCCAAAAGGACGAATGAAACCGTTTGTTTTGAAAGCTACAATTCTACCCAGTTTTAGTGATTATCTCACTTGCAACTGAACTCATGCTAAGACAGTAATTTCTAAATACATAAGCCCACCCCTCCAGATTGATGGCTCACAACCATAATCTGGGCAAGGCAAAACCAAGCTGGATCTGTGGAGACTCTGGACACCCAAAGGGAAACCAACAAAGAGGTCCCCAGCACGAATCAGGTCACCAAGCAGAAACCAGGGAGTGGCCAGTGAGTTTTGGAGCTCTGCATATAGACTGTAGAACATCTGTGAATCTTAGGAAGACTTGGGAGCCGGGGGGAGGCAAAGTCTATTTCCCACGGTGAAACATACCCGTCACCTACCTGAGAGAAAATGGAGCTGTAAGCATCCAATATAACGTTTGCCAGTGTCCTGAGTCCTGAGGACAAACCAGGCTCTGTGGGCCACATTTGCCACACTTTGCCCATCCAAAGATGCAATACAGACTGCAGAGAACCAACCTGTGGGAAGCTGGCAGTGGGCACCAACTCTTGTTCCCACACTGGATACTTCCCCAATTAAGCCATTTTATGCAACACTGGCTTTCTTACTTGGTTTTGTTTGGCTTTGGTTTTTGTGTATTTCAGATGGACTTTATGTAACACAGGCTGGCCTTGAATTCATAATCCCCACATCTCTGCCTCTGAAGTCCAGCCAGTCACTTAGATTTGCTCAGCTAGGAATCTCCCTGGAGTTACCACACCCACAAAAAGCTTAGGGCTGGCTATCACTGGTCTGCTGTTGATTTCCTACTACGACTGACTTCTGTCACCACCACTATTCCCATTCGTGGCTGGCATCTCCACGCATGGCCACAAGGAGAGCACAGACCTCAGCGGTTGGCCTGCTGGTTTATCTTTAACCCAAGTGAGGTCATAGCAGGTATGTCTTCCCCAATGCACCCAGGCTACCTCTCACTGTGAAGACACACTGGGCTCGGGGGCTTGGTTTGGTGACTTGGAGTACTTGGAGGAAGGTGATATCAGACATGGTAGCCAGTGGAGTCTCTGCGGTGTGGAGGCTGAGTGCTTCACGCTCCAAGGTCCCCTTTCCTGGATGTTGTGAGACTGCCCAACTTCCAGAACCATTTTTACTAATATGCATCATAAAAAGCAGTATATCTAAGGAGAAATAAAAGTCTCACTGCTCTGGGTCAGCCCAGAGGGTGTGGTCAGGACCCTGCCTGGTGTGGGGGTCATGCCTGACCTGGAGGGAATCCTACATGTAGGATGCAGGACTCAGCTGAAGAGGAAATGGGACCGCTGGAGAGCCTAGAACACCATACAGCTTCCACACCTAGCCACAGTGAGAACACAGATCCAGCGAGTCATGCTCACGGAAGAGGCAGCCAGCTCAGCCTGACCCAGCTCTGGGTGAAGGCTTTTGGGTATGGCCTGATCTTTTCACATGATGAGATTGTGGGGCCGTCTCTAGAAATGCTGGGAACCTGTAGCCTCATTCATTCACTTAATTGTTTAAGTGACAAATGTCACATTTAAATAAACACCCCAAGTTATAGAGACATTGTACTTAATATTTTCTGTGCTCTTTTCTGGGATACTTTGAGTAATATTCCAGGAGAAAAAATCAGGAAAAGGTCATGCCATGATCCCTACTTGTCACTTGTGTCCAGTGTTGTTTTCAGCTCGTTGTAGGTCTAAGTAGGGGGTTCTCAGTTGCAGCTTTGATGTGTCCCCATAAGAGCATAATGTGAGAACACAGAAGCAAAATGTTGGATTTCCCATCAAAGCTCACCCAACACCGGTATGCTATTTGCTATGGGAACGGCTTGCGTTTTAAAAACTGCAGTAGGAACGCTAAGGTAACTTCTCACAAGCATTTTCTTGTGTTCTCAGGACTCTGTATAGCAGAGAAGTGAAAGTATAGGCTGGTGACACCAACAGATGACTCTCTGTCATCCTTAGGCCCCGTGGCTTTACTCCATCTTCTTCTGTTGACCTGCTGAGGCCATGAAGTGTCATTCTTATCAGAGACAAGACAGGACCAGCCCTTGGTAGATGTCAGCTACTGGGAGGAAGTTTTGATAAGCCTCGGGCTGCTGAAGATGAAGTCTACACAGATGAGGGGATGTGCTCTGGGGATTGCACTGAGAACTGAGGACCAAGGCAGGCTTTCAGTAAATGCGACGCCTGGCAGTAATTCACATAGTTTATGTCTCCTTTACCAACAGAACTGGGAAGGCCATAAACGAGAGCTCCTCCCTGTGGTTAAACTGAAAGGGACCCTGTGATGCCCAAAGGGATGCTGGGCACCGGACACCTTCAGTTAGTTAGTACACATGGGTACCAAAGCACGACCTTGCAATGACAAACCTTCCCTGGCCAATGTTTCCCCAGCATCCACATTTGGGGGCTTCTCTTTAGAAGCCTGAAGACAGAGTACCTGTAGGTCTGTCCCTTTGTCCCCAGGGGAATAAAAACCATGGGCAGTGGAAGCCAGGAAGGATGGGGAGGTCATGAAGACAGACTGCCCACGAACTCAACATACACTGCTGTGTGGTCTACCAAGGATTCCCCACATCCTTACTGAAGCGCAGTGTCAGGAAATATCCACGGTGAAAACCCAAACAAAACTGAACCCGTGAGTTCTTAGTTATTACAGCAGAGGCTGTCAGGCTTATCCTCCAGACCACAAGGTCCTGGCCACAGTGCTTAATATTTAGTGGACAAAGCCACTGGTTATAGTCAATACAAATTTATGATTTGATTATGGAAGCCAGGGAACATTCACCGCTTTGCCAGCCTCAGGCTCAGCCTCCTCCACGCAGGCCGGTGCACGCCCGCTCTTCCCAGCTCAGGGACCTCAGGCCAGGGCTGGAGAAAGGGCCCCTGAGCATCACGGGATGCGCCCTCCGCTGCACTCCCTGGCACTGCTGCCTGCCAGTGCAGTATACTGTCACATCGTCTCCCCTCTCAGCGCACTCAGCAACAGAGGAGAATGCTCCACCCAAATGATGCCTTTGCCTGGCTCCGAGCGAGCCTCCCTGGGGGCTGCTGTATCTTAGGACCATGCCAGGGGGAGCAGGGGGTTCATCCTACTCCCAGACACAAGAGCCAGGCAGCTTCATCAGTGAAATGAGGGGGACACTTGCTGGGCACCATACAGGAGCCATTTGCCTGAAATGAGTGAAGCATGCTTCCCGACCGGCACGTAGTCTCCACTCCCTGGTTATAAATGGATACCCTGGAACTGACCCTTGAGCTGAGTCAGAAACAGCCTGGGTAGGAATGAATTCCACTAGGTGGGCGGTGGGCGGGGCTCCTCTCTTGCTGGAAAAGGCCAGGAACTCAAGGTGTGGGCACACTTCACACCCTCACATTAAAGTGAATTCTTGGGGCTCTTCCTCAAAACCTGAGAACCGTTTTTGAATGTTTGAACACACTGATCAGAATCGAAGAAGCCGCCTTTCCTGTCAACATTGTCTCCTGCTGATTTGGGCAATCAAATCTCAGTTGACAAATGGCGGAGTCAGCCAGAGAACCAGGAGTAAAGTCACCAAGGCCAGCTGGGAGTCTCCTGGGACAGCTGAGGCAATCCTTTGAGTGTAAGTCTGACAGCAGGACTACAGAGTCCCACTAGGACCAGGTAAGTGGCAAATGGAGAGGTGCTGGGCTGAGAGAAATGGGGTGAAACTCAATCCCCACCCAGAGCATCTATAGCCAGAAAGGGACATGGGCTTGCAGGAGCTTTCAGGGCTCCAAGCATTATTTTATTTTATTTTTTTCAAGACAGGGTTTCTCTGTGTAGCCCTGGCTGGCCTAGAACTCAGAGACATGCCTACTTCTGCCTCCCAAGTGCTGAGATTGAAGGCATGTACCACCACTGCCGGCTGGCATTAATCTTAATAAACATCACTGTTTAAAAAAAAATATTTCCAAGAAATGGTCATGTTTTGTTTGTGTCTTGGTGTAACAGCTCTGGCTGTCCTGGAACTCACTGTGTAGGTCAGGCTGGCCTCGAGCTCACAGAGATCCACCTACATCTACCTCCCAAATGCTGGGATTAAAGGTGTGTGCCACCACTGCCTGACCGAAGGTCATGTTTTAAAAAAAGAGTGGGTTAAGTGAAGAAAAGCAAACCATCTCTGGTATGTTCATGTTTCTTGAGTGAAGGCCAAGGCAACAAGTTGCTTGAGGGTGTACTTAACTCATTAACTAAGGGCAGCCGCGCAGAAGCAGCTTGGGGCACACAGAGTGCCCATCACTGTCTGGGGAAAGCCTAATACAATTAGCTAAATATGAAAAGACCCACACGCACAATCTCAGCACGACTGTTAGTTTCCTTGAGAAGCAGTGGGTTGTCACAGCTCACAGTGAGGATTCCGAGGTCAGGGAGGCGACTGTCAGCTCTCACACATCAAGGAGACAGACACATCTTTCTGTTTTTCCTTTAATCCTTAGCTTTAAGGAAGACTCTGCCTCTCCCGGAAGCCACACACATCCCTGCTCGAAAGACCAGAACAAAGTCCTAGCTAGAGACTGCAGAAGCTGTGCCTTCCTCCCTGTACAGCCCCAGACTCACAGCCACATCACAAACTGCATCTCAGTAGAGCAACTTCACCTCAAGTCTTTCAAGGCATTTTCTCCGGAAACATACCAATGAATATTTACACCAAAAATCTCAAACACAAGATATTTTAATTGGATACAACAGAAGAAAAATTAATTTTAGTTCATCTTTCTATATTAAAAAAAAAACAGTCTGGTGTACAGTGCATCTTCACCTTCTGAGAGGCGACAGTGTAAAGTTCCCTGTGCCAACACGCATCACTGCATTCAGGCCCACGGGCATGGTGAGCTACAGGCACTTAGCACTCAACACAGGCCCAGTGAAGACAGAGGCTGTGTGTCCAAGAGCTCACTCCCTACATTCTCGAGGCTTTGTATTCCTGTGCCACAGGCAGTCAGTCGGACAGACCAATGGGTCCTGTCAGGGGCATCGGCACGAGCCTGCTCTTTTGTCCTATCCTGCAGTCACCTCTTTTGAAGACAAGAGAGTCAGAGCCCATGCACTCAACTGTTTACCTGAGAAGACTTAAGGATTTTCTAACTCACATTACAGTAAAAATTATACGCTTTGTATTAGGAATCAAAATCTCCATAATTTCACAATGTCCAGGTGCTAACATTTTTTCTTTAAATTTGAACACTGTGTAAAGCCCTCTCAAAACTCATTAAGTAAACGTATTCTATTTTAAAAAGATTAACAGCTCGGTTGATGGGTGGGCAGGTGGATGGAGACAGGTGGCTGGCTGGCTAGCTGGTGGACAGACATGGTGCTGTAGATGACAGATCTAGTGAACTTGTTAAAGAGACAGACGCTCTTGACATGACATAGGTAGCAGGCCACAGAACATTACGTAGGACATCCAGGTACATGAAGCAGCACATTGCTCACATGGAGAAACTCGGGGACAGCATGACTGGAGGCTGTTAGTTTTTACCCAAAACAAAGAGAAACACACCTCCTCTGTCAAAGCACTGTGACTGAAAAACAAAACCATGTGTGCCACCTGCTGCTGACAGAGAACCCACCCGGCCAATGCACAGAACCACAGCGGACGGTCAACAGTGTGAGACACGCAGAGCTAGTCTTATAGATTTAACGTCAGTCATAAAAGTATCTCATCGTGAAAAACTAAACATCTGAGAATAGGAAAGAGGCACTTCAGTGTCTTATATACAGTTTTAACTCTACAATGAGCAGACTTGAGGTTTTCTGAGCAAAGCTAAGATTTTTGGGTGACTAAGATTCATAGTATTTCTTCTTTGAGTTTAAGATCAACTTAAAAAAATAAAAAGATTGGTATTTAAAAGTTCAAAAGTAAAGATGAAATTCCATTAAGAGAACAGAACCTGTTGCCACCCAAGCTCACAGTGGAGGCCACGCCTCCTCAGCAGCAGATGGGTCACTCAAAATGCCCTGACAGTCTACTTCAAATCACCTCAGTCACTTCCAGCATCTAGATTTTGTTTTGTTTTTATCTTCATAAGGGAAAAAAAACGAACCTGTTGTTAAACTGAATTACTGTAACTTTGGAAGAGGCTTCTTGTATTCTGGTAAAGGAAGAAGGTACCACAGAGGCCATGTTCGCACTCATGTCACATGCATGGACAAGATGAGGAGGCTCTAAGAGAACACGTGACTGAGGTTGGCATGAAACTCAGGGGAGCCTGCAAGTCACTATTCTGTCTCACAGGACAGGGTGTGCAACGCCCATGTCCTTTCAACATACCAGCACCCGGTGGGTGGATGCTTCTGCAATAAGGCAACCAGATGCCACCAGGAAGCCATGGCGCATGTGGGTCATGGAGCACAAAACACAAGCAACTCTGCGGATCCCTTTCCTTGGCTATGAGAGGGCTCAACAAGTTAATGGAGCAGTAGCAGAAGGCCACCAGGCTTGGCCAACCCTAAAAGCAATGTGATGTCACAGTGAAGCGCCTTCGGTTCATTCCACTTCCTCAAAGTTATCCGTTAGGTGGCCCTTGCTCTGTCGCCGGATGCTGACCAGTTTCCCTGCCGACCGGAGGCTCCAGCGGGAGCTGCTGGCTGAGTTGGTCAGGCTGGTGTACTTGCTAGAATCCTTGGTGTCATCCTCCCAGCCAGACCAGGGTGGGCAGCCACTGCTACCACCCTCCGGGTCAGCCGCCATGTCTTCAGCAGTAAGTATGGGAGGCTCCCAACCTTCGATCTGGTCTGGTTTTTTAGGCTGGACATTCTGTTTCAGAACCAAAGTGTCCCAAAATCCTGATTTCTTCTCTGCCTTCAACTCTTCTTTTAGTCGGAGATTACTTCTGTAGGTGAAAAGTTTAATTTTGGTCACACGGTGATCTCATAAATGTGTCACTTTGATAAAGTCCTTTCAAAAACCTTAAAGGACTTAGAAAGCTAATAGAAACCTGTGTGTAAGTTTGGGGTAAGCATTAAAAAACGATGGGAAACTTCACTGGTATAAGCTTATAGATGCCACACTTTGGGTTCCCATGCAGTGTGAACAAAGGACCAGTCAGTCCCCAGACAGAAGAATGGAAGCCACTGTCACAAGCAACCAACTCTCAAAGGTGGTAGGATGGAGTAGGTAGACAAACCAGACATGAAAAACCAAGACCAGTTTAGGTATAAATAAAGGGGAAATTCTGTTTACTAAGAGGGTTTTCAGTAGGGTTGTTCATAGAGGAAACTAGTCTCACACATTTAGTAGGTGATGTACTCAAGAAAATAAGTGCTCAATACTTCTGTGATGAAAAGGCAATGATGGCTACAAATACATTAGTGTCCTGACTACAAGTCAGCATCACTCAGGACACTACTCCAGACATTGGGACACAGGTGTTCTAGACCTACCAGCTCATCACCCAGAGACCAAGAAGACCTTTTGTGAAACTGCTTCTCCAGCACCACAGGAGCCCTGTGTCTGTCCGTCCCAGTGAGGCAGAAGGAAACACAGCTACAGGTTTCCAAGGTTACCATCTCACTATCAACAGGAAGTCCTGTTACATTTTTTAAAGTTACATTTTACCTCTAAATGCATTTTTAACATTCTGATGAATTTATAACAAGGTAGCAACAACGTATCAGCTCATACTTGCTTAACTTCCTAGAATCTTCTGTGGGTTCCAATCAATACTTGTGGTTTTGTTTAGTTTTGATGGTGCTGGGATCAAAGCAGGCCTGTGCACACGCCCGGGGGCGGCTCCACCGCCACAGCACACCTTAGTGTACACACCACAGTGCTTCCCTTACGTCCTGAACACTCATGAGCTTACGGCTAGTGAGTCCAACTTACAAGTTTTAGTTTTTTCCCTTTGCTTTAGCATTTCAAAATATTTCATTGGTTACATAACCTCCACCCAAAGTACGATTCACTTGTCCCCAGGGCATCCACAAAGTGCACTCCATCTCTCTGCGTTCACAGGGTAGAGAAACCCTAGCATTCACATCTCACAGCTCCCCTGAACCTGCAGCCTAGGGCAGCAGAGGCCTCTACAGAGGCGACAGTGGGCCTGTGAGAGTCCCTCTCGTTACACCACAGCACTCTCTCTGCCTCCATGGTAGTGCCACTTCTCAGGATGGCTGCTTAGGACTCACCCTTTGGACTTGGGAGACTTGGACGTCTGGATCAGATGCTGCTCATCATCTTTATTAAACAGAGAAGTTACTTCTTTCCAACCTCTGAGACTTGCTCCCTGAATAGGTGAAAGGGAAAAAGACAAGTCAGACCTGATGCCATGAATCCACAGATCTGTTTCCTAGCCCAACAAGTCAATGTCTGGCTTACTCACGGCAACACAGCTTGAAAGACCCAGCACCAGGTGGTGACTTTATCACCATGCTAATGTCATAGAATGACTGTCTCACACCTAGACAGTATCGCCTATGACATGCTTCGGCCACACGGTGTGTGTCTATGGCCTAGATCACTGTCGTAAGGCTGAGGATGAACCCACCGAGAAACAAGGCCTGAGCACGGTAAATAGATAGCATGTGCAAACATGACAGTACTGGCACTCAGTGCCTCGCCAGCAGTGGGCTGGACCATGTGGGTGCTCACAGCATCTCACCAACACGGAAAGGAATGTGTTCTGCCGGTGACCATGATCATGCCATAACTGGCAAGAGCATTTCCAGCCCCCATTATAATCTCATGCCCTTGATGGAAATGTCGGAGGAGGTCCCTGACCCTTCCATATCTACACACCATATATCTTACCTGCTCATCCATGTTCTGGGAAGTCACACCCTGTAATGTTCTAGCCAATAACCATATTTTACGTGTGGAAGGTTGTGTTAAAGCAGCTTAGTTAGGAAGATTACAACACAGGAAGGGACCGGGTCTTGATGCCAGGTAGCCTGGCACTGAGGGGGCCTAAGGCTATTTACAGGGGTCTCCAGCCATAACCCCCACATAGATGAGCTTTGGAGAAGAAATATGTGTTTTATTAATTCTGGAAAAATCATTTTATACAATTTCATTTATGAAACCTGGATCTTACAATCAGTATCACTGTAGATCTATTCTGTAACTTACTAGGCAGGAAGGATTATGCAGACCGAGGTTCCCTGGAAGTCTAACTCTATACCCCGCACCATCATCCCTGCTGGTGTGAGAAAAGGAACTGTCATAGGGCAAGGCGGGCTTTAAAACTCTGAAGTGCTAAATAGGGAATACAAAAGGAGTCACAAAAGGAACTGAGAGGCTTCGGAGACCTCTGACGTGAGGCGGTAAATTCTCAGTGAGCCCATCAAGGCAGCACAAGTGGAAACCATCAAAACCTATCCAGGAACCGCGATTCTACTCTTTGCTCCTGTCGGTCTATCCAGACTTTAGGAATCCCCTCTGGGCAGAGGTCTGTCTCCAACTGTCAGGCCCCACCAAATCCACTGTGGTAGAATCCTAGGTGGTGTACCCATGCCAAAGGAATCACTATAGCAAAAACAAAAACGTAGGCATGAGACCCCGGTTTACCATTCCAGGTACCCATGTAGATACCAACAGAGCACGGAAAGCTACACACTGCTCGTGTTGTGTCCTGTGACCCTCAGCAGAGGGTGAGGGTGCTACATTAGTCTACACGAATCAGGGACAGAGCTCAGGTCTGATCCACTTGTGCCTAGCACCAAGTGTCCTCAAAGCACCTCTCTGGAATCCAGTCAGAGACCAGCAAAACAAACACCGTGCCTACCCATGAGGATGCAAACTGTGAGGCCTCAGGTCACTTGCTTGAAGCAGCATCTACAAAACACAGGGAGCCTGAACCTAGTTTTGGGGGGTATTATGTTCACCGCCCAGACCCTCCAGTGAAGAGACCACAAAACACAAACCTCCATCACGCTAGGCCGGCTGACTGGCTTGCCCCTCCCATCTGGGGCTGCACATTCCACCGATCCCTGACCACGGTTGCCAGGGAGCTGGTCCTCATTTTAAGACAAATCAGCAAGAGAGGGACCTCAGGAGCTTGGCTTACCACCCAATGCTTGTTTCCATTGGCATTATTAGGATGGCGTCCGCAGCAATGGGATTTCAGCAGCCTCGACAGGAAAAATGAGCAAATGCAGGGAGATATACCCAAAGAGGAAAACTTGCTAGAGACAAAGTGAGCGGCAAAGGCACTTTTCAGGAAGGGTGAGTGGCTGTTCCTCCCTCAGAGGAGCTAACCCTGGAGCACCGGAGCTGTGTCAGGATGTCATGGCTGTAATTAATACAGACAGGTTAAGAGGGCCATGACCACTGTGGGCCAGCTAGAGCCTGCAGTGCTCCCTGCCCACCTGCCTCTTCACAGCTAACATTTTCTCCAGGCGGGCCTTCCCAGAGCCCTCCTGTGTGACTTCAAGTGTGCATCACGCCAAGGACAGCAGCATTTACATGCAGAACAGAATGGCTACAAGTCTCCCCCCACTTCTGGCCTGTTAGCATTCTTACTTATCAACTCCATAAACACTAGGAACCCCCGACCCCTGTCACAGTTTTCCCATCTCTCATACAAAAAGCCTGAAGCTTAGGGAATTGGACTTCGCCATTCTCTGGGTACTTTTTCAGGGAGGGGTGCTCTCACCTCCAAGCTGAACACTGTCTGAGACTGAGTGCTGGCCCACCCTGCAGGCTGTCTACCCAGGTGGAGGGTTAGCCACACTTGTTAAGTTTACACATCCTCCTGGATGTGGAGCAAAAGCGACCCCAGGACTCATTGTTGGTGTTTTTTCCCCCCGTGGGTTCTGTTTTTTGGGAGACCCCACAGCAGCTAGCCACATCTACACCATGAGCAAACCCTTATGTAAACACCAAGTATTAGATACTAGTCACTGAAAAACATTTTGGGGAAGGAGTTGACCCTGAGGCTAAAGCCACATAAATGCCCTAGACACCTGAGGATACTGGGCAAGAGTCTCCCAGGAGTCAGGATCAGAGCACATCCTAGCAAGGGATAAGCTTGTGGCTGTGTCATACTTACACTGCCCGGTGAGAAGACCTGCAGATACAGGAATTCACTGAATATGATCAAACACACCGGACAGGAACTTGTACGGAGCTAACAAGACACCTGCTCCCTGGTCCTGTGCATTCCACCCCCAGCCCAAAGGCTAAGTACTTTTAGAGGGTGCAACAGCAGGGAGACTTCCATGAAGGCTTCTGAACCACAGCACTAGCCCACACACTTTCCGTGCTGAGCTAAGAGTAAGTGGCTCTGACCGCACACCAATATCCAGCATTGCTACAGGGCAGGGTAGCGCTTCTGACAGCTTTTCCAGAGGGTGGAGAGAGAGATGGAAGAACAGCTCCTTCTTTCTTCTAGGTCCCCCACAACCATGCTGCAGAAGTTCCAGGATCTCTCATGGGCCATGAGCTCTGAAGTACCACACTCCACCCATCACAGAATAGTCCCATTCATAGCACCATTGTCACCTGTCACCTGCTGTGGGAGCAGGGTAGCCCTCATCTTCAGGGGCTCCAGGCAACTGCATGCCTTGGATGGTGTATTCTGTGGATCATGAATTTCCCCCCTCAGTTTACGTGAACATCGATGGCCCTGTACCCACAGCTCTGCCCTGGCAAGTGTGAGCTCTGTGAGTCAACCCAGCGACCAAGGTCTCACTCAGGCCTGTGATAGTCCTCCACAGGGCATGCAGAGGACGGCTTTCTCAGGTCATGGATCTTGACCTTTGACACTGCAGGGTCCTTGATCAGGCCTCAGTGATCCTGGAAGGGCATGCCAAGTGCAGACACTTCCTTCTGTGAAGAGCAGTTCCTGTGTTTCACTCAGGGAAGATCTCACAGGAACATCCTACAGAAGCGACAGAGCAGGAGGCTTTGGGTATCGGACGATGCCAATAGTTCAGGGGCAAAAGACATGGGCCTGAGGTGGGACTGGCCTTGGTGGATGAGTGTACATCCTCCACTGTGTGGGCCACTAAGAAATTCCCTGCTGAGCTCTGCGTTTTGGCTACTCTTTAGGGAAGACATGACAAACCTAAGAAGCAGCCTCCAAATCGGAAAATCAGTGACAACCAAAACCAGACAGTGACAGCCAGCGAGGCGAGAAGAAAGGGAGGCAACAGAAACAAGGGAGGGAGACCCATCAGAGTAATGGAAAACCCTTCTCTTCTAGAAACCTTCAGTCCAAGCAGATAGCCTGTCATGTGGGAGAGGGAGAGTGTCGCTCAGCTCACCGGACTCTTGCTGGACAGGTGGAGCTGAGGGCCTTGTCAAGTATGCAGAGCAACCCTGGGAGATTCACAGGCATCTTGTTGCAGGTCTGGGGATTCCCCCAAGGGCAGGTGTACGAAAGGATCATTGTTCATATACCTCCAAAGGGTGCCATGGCCCCACAGTCATGAGCATGTTACTACACTTCCCTGTATAGATGGCCAAGAGGTAAGTACAGACACAGGGAGCTAAGGTTGCCTGAGACTACACCCTGCTGGGCCCTCCTCTCAACTCCAGAACTTTTCTATACAAGGCCTATGTCACGCATGGTGTCTGTAAGGAGAGGACAGAAATGCATTGCAGCTTGTTTTAGGGCACTAACAGCCATCGTTTTCATCCAAGCAGCTCTGACTCTTTGCAAGAGACCCTCAACATTGGGCCTGTTGAGGGCTGGCACTTTCTCATAGAAGGAGGGGGTGGGAAAGTCACTGGACGGACTCTCACTTGAGATTTTGGCCTTTCCCTCCTGCATCTCCAAGTCAGCTGTATGTGACTTTGCCCTAATTGTACATGCCTCATGATCTCAGAAAGTGCTGAAGCGTGCAGAGTGTGGAAAGTTAACTGAGGAGGCAGCTAGTCATGCCGAGTCATCGTTCATGCTGGGATGGGACTTTTGAGTGGTGTGGCCTCTCTGGAGTCACCCATGCATGTAAGTGAGCTCAACAAACTTACTGGTGCCCCAAGATGGAATTTTGTACCCTGGTTGTTGTGGGTGCATGATCAGAAGGAGGGAGATGTTTGTTTATATGTCCCCAGAGAAAGAGTCCTCTCACCAGGGTGTGATCCTGTGGGAGTAGAAGCAAGCCTTCCTAGAAACTTCCCTGGGTGTGTCAAGAGCTGCCAGCTCTGCTCCAATGATATGACAGATCCCCCATGGAAGGCCTCACCCTCCCTGGAGAGCAGAAAGGGGATGGGATAGGGGGTCGGTGGGGAACAGGGGAGGGAGAGGGTACTGGGACTGTTTCTAATGTTTAAAAAATGGAA